AGCTCTGAGGGTCTCCAGATGCCAGCCAAAGGCTGGCTTTTCCAGCAATTGAGACAACTTACTGTATTCCCATGCTTACGAAACTGCAGTAAATCTCATCAGCCTTCTCTGTGGCAGAAGAGTCAAGCCCTTGAAAAAAGCAATACAATGATGACTTGAGTGCCCTGAGGTAAGTGTGGAGCAGAATATAATAACTCCCAGCAGTGGAGTTTCATCATGAAATTTTGGCAAGGGCTACACTGACCTGGATGTGGAACCTATGTCTACAACCAAGGAGTTACGTCAATGCAGACAACAGACTTGATTGCGCTGAGCCTCAGTTTGCTTTCTGAAAAAGAGAGATATGAATCCTCACTTTATTAGGTTGTCTCGAGAGTCAAATATGAGAATGTTGTCAAGTCCTACAGTGGAGCTCCTAGCATGCAGAACAAGCTCAAGTACTATTTGACTTTTTTTTCTTCTGTACCCAACAGTTTCTTTTCCAGGAAAATGTGATGCTGTTCTTCAATCAAATCATAAAATAGGGGATATGCATTTGGGCATCACTAATGTCCATCTGTACCTCCCTTGGCCTGTCTGACATGTTGAAATGAACGATCAATAGTCACTTCTTGTGCTGTATACATTGTTCTGTTTCTTTCATCCAGAGTCTTGTCCTAGACTCTGGCCAAAGTAAAGGAAATTGGAAAGAAATGTGTTTATAAAAGCTATTAACTGGAAGTTGTCCAAGTACCTTCCTGAGGGTAGATCAGTTAGAAATAATATTTGGCTGTTAGTAACAACAAGCTGAAAAGAGTGTCTTGAGTCAACTAAAGGTTTGATTTCACTTGAAATAAAACTGATGCTTATGATATCGAGGACACCCCTTCTGCTTAGCCTGCTTTAGCAAATGCTCCCTGTCCATGGTCACATGGTGGCCAACTTCGCCCCACTTTCAGGTAGAAACAAGGGGCAGGGGTAGGGGCAGAGGCCCATGCCACTGCTGAATTAGCTTTTACTGTCTTTTAAACTTTGATGGAAACCACCCTGTAACTTCCACCAACATCTCCATGGCTAGGCCAGTGCTACACTGCAGTACTCTCCGCAGTGATGGAAATGTGAGGTGCTAGCTGTTCAGCATGTAAAATGTGGCTAGTGAAACTGAGGGAATACATTTTAAATTTTACTTCCTTTAAATACATTAAAAAATTAAGTTTATTTGAGAGGGAGAGGAGAGGAGAGCAGAGGAGAGAAGAGGGGAGGGGAGGGGAGGGGAGGGGAGAGAAGAGAAGAGAAGAGAAGAGAGAGAATTATTGAGATTGATTCCATTTGCTGATTCACTTCCCAAATACCTACAATAGCTTGGGCTGGGCAAAGCTGAAGCCAGGAGCTCAGAACTCAGTTTGGGTCTCCTATGTAAGTGATAGGGACAATACTCTTTGAGCAATTGGCTGCTGCCTCCCAGGCTGCACATTAGCAAGAGACTGGAATCAGAAATAGAGCTGGCACTTGAATCTGGCACACTGATATGAGATGCAGGCATTCCAAGTTGTATTGCAACTGCTGCACCAAATGCCAACCCCTATTTTAATAAAGTTAAAGCTAAGTAGATATATGTGGCCACCATACTGAACAGTGCAGAACCCTAGTCACAGGACTACCACATCAGCTAGAAAGACTGGAAAATGTAGGTTTGGGGCTGATGCATTGTTACCTCCACAAAGTTGTGCTTTTCCTTAATAAATGAAAAAAAGGACAGAAATTAATATAGGCTGGGTGAATAGCAGTCTGAAACAGAGGGACAGCTGCACCTGCTGTTCCTTCATCCTGATGGCTTTATCACAGGCAGGAGGAATGCTGTGGCTGGGAAGAGTTTGTAGTTGGAAAGCAGAACTGAGAAGGGGAGTTCTGTTCAAACACTTCCTTTTTACAATGGGGAAACTGAGGCTCAGAGGAATGCCTGAGCCAAAGGCTAATGTGCTCTGCATTAATACAGAGCTGATTTGGTGGCCTTTCAAATATCACCCACGGTAAAGTGTGAAATCTCTGAAAGAAAATGCCTTCTGTCCATGGTTGTTAAAATGCAGGAAAAGAGATTGTGATGCCACCTATTGGTGGACAAAAGTAGAGGGTGTCCTGGTAACAGCTTGTTCCTGAGGGCTGCAGGCAGGGGGCGGGTCCTGCAGAGTCTCCATAGAAAGGACAGGCAGGGAGGATGCAAGTCCCACATCAGCATGCACTGTGCCTGCCAGCTTCCCCTGCACCCTGAGCTTCCAGTCAGGGCTTCTTAGAGGGCCCTCTCCTGCTTTCCAGTAATACAACCTGCCTTAGGCATACAGACGAACAACAGAGAGGACACATCAGTCCCTTCTCAAAATCACATGAAATAGGAAAAAAGAGCACATTCTGAGCTATAAATAGCCCTGGGGTGAGAATTCAAGGTTCTTATTTGATCCACAGTCTCAAAAATAAATCCTGTTATTTACAGCAATCCCCTTGACTAGTTGAGTATGTAACCATCCTTCAGCTCAAAAGAAGAAAAAAGGGAAAACAGAGATTCAATTTCAAAACAAAATGCTCACCCTGACTCATTCAGGGAAGGATCCAAGGTTTTTGATGCAGGGCACTGAGTCTCTGCCTGTTTTTCTCCTTCATCATCTGCTACCCTTAAAAAATGGTATCAACTGCATTGGTAAGAATCCACATGTCTTTCCTTTTGTTCCCTGGCTCCAGTCCAGCGTTTGACTCGTCACACTGATGGGTGAGATGCCTTTCCTATTGGCATAGGACACTGAACGGACGCCTCCCCAGCTATTATCAAACAGGGACTGGGCGAGCAAATCCACCCTGGGCTGGAGTCTCCTCTGCGGCTTGGGAACACCAGGGCCACCGTGCCTCTGTGGCTTGGCTTTAAAGCATTTTGACCATGGCTGTGGAACCCAGCAGCAGCTCGGAACCCACAAAAAGGAGAGGTGGGAGGAGGTGAGTGGCACAGACAAGCAGATGTTGGTCTTTCGGTTGTCGAGGGGACCCAGGCTAGTGGGCAACTTGCTGTGGGGGCAGTGATTGAGAACACAGCTTATTAGCCAGTGATGATCAGCAGAGGAGCTGCTGATTTCAGATGAGAGGTGGGAGTACACTCTGCTTATCTGCCCTGCAAAGAGCCTTTCTGAATATACCTTCAGTTCATGCCTTGAGAAAAAATCCCAAGTTTCTGGCATAAAGCTGCATGTGTGTTCTGCATGCTGGCTTGCAGGCAACTGTTTGCTTCTAATTAGGGAGCTGGAGCCTGCTAGCAGAGGAAACCATATTTGTCACAAGTTGTGGCACTGTGTTCAGCTGGTGTATCTTTTCTTTGAACTGGGGGTGGGGAGGGGGTCAGACATACCTGTGCTGGGTTTTTCTCTATGAACTTTGTAACTTCTACTCTATGTCTACGTGTTCATTCATTCTTGGTTGCTGCTTCCTGTCTTGCTTCAATTAACACTTCCTCCTCTCCCAGTAGTAACTGTGCTCCCTGGTCTAGTCATTCCAATCACCCCAGACCCATGCATATTGTAGACAGAATAAAACTTACTTGTGCAGGTTGCTGTAAAAATTAAATGGGGTGGTATGTAGAGTGCTGAACAGATGCCTGGAAATAGCACAAGCTCGGCACATCTGAATTCGTCTTCTCTTGCTTATTGAAAAAAAGGTTTCTGTTAAATTTAACAAATGTTTGTTGACTACTTGTTAAGGGACAGATGCACTTTTCTAGGCATGTGGGTTATAATAATGAATAATACAATGAGACAGAAGTATCATCTACCTTCACAGAACTTGAATTCTAGAAGACCACAGTCAACGTGCAAGGAAATGCCCTTTTCTTCCCATCTTTGCAAGTTCACTCCAACTCAGACTTCACGTTTATCTCCAAGACTACTTCTTCATAAAATCTGGAAGAAATGTTTTCTGATTTCACATTTTCAGTTACTTGACACCCACCATCTGCCCTCTTGTTCCTGGGAGGAGAACCCAAAACACTCCTTGGAGAGCCATCCCCCTGGCCATCACTCTCAGTATGAGGATGAGGTGTCGATCCCCCACACCCCAACTCCAGCAGTTCAGGAGAGCAAATTGCAGTTTCTGACCCTATGCCCTGTGGAAGGCCAAGCCCATTCTGTAATCCCATATCCCCAGCCACAACGGCTTGATGGGCTTTGCATAGCCACATGGCATAAGTTTGTCCAAGGCGAGTCCCAGGGTCGACCTGGGTTCCCTAGGATGCTTTCTAAGGTGTTGGTTTAGTGTTGTCCTACTTAAGAAGGGTTTCAGAGGCTACTGGGGGAAGACCAATGTAATTTTTCTTGCAGAAGTTGCTCCCCTGCTTCTTCCCAACTGATTCTACAGAATTGCTAATGGGTTGCCTGATCTGTATCCCATTATTTCATCTACTCTGTCCTTGGAAAATGGGAACTCTGTAGTTGGTGAAGAGCTCTTGGCTGATAACCCCCCTGCTTGAAAAAAGCCTAGTTAGTGCATTGCACAGCGGGCAGGAAGCCCTCCCACATCCTGGTACCCTTTGCAGCACTGTCCATGGCAGGCCAAGGCCACAGAGAGCCACTCCTGTGTTGCTTTATGGATTCTGAAGCCCTGCTTGTGAATCTGGTGGTACCCGTATGCTGAGTTTAGCTGCCTGGTTTATCCGCGGCTGCAGACACAAATCACAAACAGCGCTCAGGTGTGTCTCTCTATCGCAGATTTACCTGATTTTGACTTTGAGTTTGCAGGATAAAAGCCATTCTTTCAACAGCGCTTTTAACACGTGTCTGTGGTTGGTCCTTACGTATGTCTTTAAACTTAGGTACATCCATCGCCGTGTCAGGCCACGCCGCAGATGCTGGAGACAGGCAGGTGAGCAATACCAGCACCATTGTTGGTGACAACAGAACATTCATCCACGAAGTTTCTGGGACTGTGCGCATCAAGAGTGTGGCTCCCAGCCTCTCCCACCGCGCGGCTGCGCTCTGCCCTGGAGAGAGGCGGGTCCAAGCGCTGAGAAACACGCACGCAGGTCCCTGCGAAGCCGCGAGCAAGAGAGGGAGAGAGCGAGCGAGCGGCCAGGCCAGGGTGCCCCCACGTGGGCCCTGGGACTGAGGGCGTGGAGAGGCGCGGGCTTCGCGCGGAGCAGCCAGGCCAGAGGGCGCTCTCGGGGGCTCCGCGCTCGGCTCCGGCCAGGCTCTGCGCGGGCTCCGCCGGAGGGTGGCGACGTCGGCGGGCGGTGCGTGTCCTCGCCGCCGCCCGGCGCTCCCGGAGTCGGCTGAGCAGCCCGCCCCGCCCCGCGTGGAGCCAGGGCTTCCGGGGACGCCGGACCCGCGGCTCCGTTGAGCTCCCGCAGCCGCCGCCGCCGTGCCAGGCTCCGGGGAGCCGGGAGCCCACCTCGCGCTGCAGCTGCTCGCGCGCCTCCTGGGGTGAGCGACCCCTGCGGCCGGCAGGTGAGTGACCCCGGCGCCCCATGGGGTAAGTGAGCCCCTCACGCCCCTCGAGGCCCCCAGTCGCTCGCCCCCGGGTGAGTGACCGCCGCGCGCTCGGGGGCCGCGGGCGGGACCAACTTTGAGCCGCTTGTGGCTGCTGTGCTGTGCTAGCTGCGGCCGCGCCTGACTCCCTGGTCAGAGGAACTTTCGCATCGCACCCCTGGTCCGGGGACGCGCGCCCGGGTGAGGCGGGTGCAGGGTGCGCTGTTTGGAAACAGGGAGTGGGTACGGAGTCGCGGCTGGATCCGCGGCCGCCCCGACGGGAGGGCGCTGTGGGGCGTGGTGCAGCTCTTGGCTCCGCGGTAGCAGGACCCAGCTGTTGCTCCCCGCCCCCACCCGAGTACTCAGCTCCGCTCCCGGTCGGTCCCCGCAACCGCACCGGCTCTCGCCCCCCCCCCCCCCCCCCCAGCCTCCACAGCTGGACTCAGCCCTCAGCTGCCCCTCCGGTCGGACCCAGCTCTTGTCCGCCCCGACAGCCGGAGCCAGCTCGCCACTCCCCACCGCGCCACAGCTGGAGCGAGCTTTCGATCTCACCACACCATAGCTGGACTTGGCTTTCAGCCCCCGCCCCTACACCTACAGGTGGACACACCTTTCGCCCCCCATAGCTGGACACAGCCACCTCTCCCCAACCCCCTGCACAAAACGCCAGGTCCCGCAACACTCAGCTGCGTTCCCTGCTCTTGGGCTTCAAACTAAGGCGCCGACTCGGCGACGAGTGCAGGGACGAAGCCCAGCCCCCAGGCACCCCCCTCCATTTAGGGAAGTAGCAGGGGGCCGGTCTGAAGGGGCCATTGGCCGAGGAGATGAGGCCCCGCGGGCTGTCGAGGGCGGCCCACGCCAGGTCCTCGGTGGGCAGCGGGCCGCGCCCCGGGGACTCTCAGGAAAGGGCAGGTGCGCCAGTCGGGGAGCTGCGGGCTGGGCTCCAGGGCCCAGACTTGGTAAAGCCTCTGCCGCTGGGGCCTCGAGGCAGGAGCCCGGGAGAAGCGCGCGGGGCTCGGGAGGGCGACGGGCAGAGGAACAGGGAGTGCCCAGAAACTTTGCAGCCCGCACGCACCTGGCCCGCCGAGCCTCCAGGGCTGGCCACTGTGCAGTCCCACGTTTTGTACAAAACGGCTTAGAACCAACCAGCCCCTCGTCCTCTGGCTGCTTTGCCAGCGGATTTTTATAAGCACCGCTCTGGTTTTCCTTGGCTCCCCTGGTTTTGTTTCCTGAGTAGCAATTTTGAGCTGTCCAATGTACTTAGAAGTGTTCTTAAACAGATTAAATCTTGCTCTTTAAACTCAACAAAACAACCTTAACTTCAAGTAAAGTACTCTCTTCTCCCAGCGCCTGTCCTTACTCTGTTCTTAGCCATCTCTGTTCTTAAAGGCATTTGTGTTCTGCTTTTTTACCTTTTATCAAAATAAGCTTAAAACCCTCCAAGTTTCCTTGAACCCGGATTTTAACTCCATGAAGATATTTTGTAGCTAGTGTCTGCTGGTTGCACTTCATAGGATACCCCACTTCAAGCTGGTGGCAAGACACTGCTTTATCTTATTTGGTGCTTTTCAAGCTAAAGACGGTCCCATGTCTTCTTGTTAACCAGAAGAGCTCAGGATGGCTCTTAGAGCTTCATTCCCCTCACTCAGCTGTTGCTTCCAGGTTGAACTCGCTCTGTGTGCCCATTTTTAAAGATAAACTGACAGGCACTTTGGCTCAGAGGAGGTCAAAGGTTCTCACTGGTAGGGGGTGGCTAAAAATAGAGGGAGGGTTTGGGAAAGATAGCTGGAACACCTGTGTTCATAGTGCACACAAGTAAACATCAGCCTTTCTTCACCTGTCTGGGATGGGGAGGTTCTGATGGTGTCCCAGTACCAACATCAGACCACTTGGGAGCCCTGGGATTTCCCCTTGAACTTACATGAAAAGGTGCCTGTTGAGTGGGTGGATGAGAACACTTGCCAGGGATGGGACCAGTGAGCTACTGGTGCATCACCATGGGAGACCCCCTGGACCGTCCAGCCTCCTCTCCTGTGAGTGGTCAGCTTCACTTTTGTTCTTGGGGACATGGGACCAGCATGCTTTACTGGGAACAAGCATTGGTGGGGTGCAGTGAGTTTCCCAGCATGAGACAAACACTTTACTAGCACTTCTAAATAGTTCTTCTGAAAATAATGTCTCTGAAGTTGTTTCTTAGTTGTAAAAGAAAAACGAAGACTTCCTGTTCTCTCTAGGTCTCTAGTAGCAGTGTGACCTTTTGCTTGAATTACTGGTTTGTCCTAAGAGGACCTTGCTTTTAGAGGTTTTAATTGACAGGTGTCTTATTCTGAAGTCTCCCTTGATCTGCATGTTGATGTGCTGACTAAAAATACCTCATTTCAGTTAGTTGGAAGGAAAGGTGTTCTGTTTCCAGAGTAGGAAAGTTTGGATTCTTCTTAGCATCAGATGGTTTGAATCCCTTATCATGACTGTAAACCTTAAGCTTATACTGACTCTAATGAATAATCCCAGAAAATAAATAGGCTAAGAGTGGAGCCTTTCTCCTGTGTGCATTAGAATCTCTTGGCATTTAGCTGAACATACTTACCAGGTTTGCTCCATGTCTCCGCTCTGCACGTTCCCTGGAATGTACCAAATACCTGAGGCCACTATGGACACCTTTATTCCAGTAAGGAAAGGATTTCTCCATGTAACTGTATTGGAGGTGAGCAGCCAATGTTGTCTACAGTCAGTGCCCCACATGTTCAGAGGGTTCAGATCCAGGACAAAGAATGAGAAATGTACTCTGACAGGACCAGCCTGACCGAATGGGTACAAGTCTGCATGCTGGTCGGGAACATCATGGCCCAAGCCTGTGCATACTTAAGCAGAGACATGAGAAGAAGATCTGTATTTCATGTGTTTCCAAGAAGGAAAGGAGAAGAAACAGGCTAAATTTTCTCTGTATATTTGATCTTTTCTTTTTTTCATCTTGTTAATATTTTTAAAACAAAACAAACAAAACCCTCTTTGGATCTATGCTGTAACCCAAAGCCATATTTCCTTGGCAACAGTAGTCAGTACACAAGGGTTACAAAATATCAAGACAGAAAAATTTCAGATGCATTCAAAATCAAATGCCACATGGTTCAAGACCATCCTTTGGTGCATTAAAACTGACCTTCCTGCATTTACTAATAGAGTTGCCTTTCTTTTGATGAAATATGGATGCTAAAGAACTGATTACAGATTTTAATTGTTTTGAGGATCCCCAAAGAAATCCCCTAATTTTTTTTTTTTGAGGAACGCACGTCATGAAAATAATTTAGGTTGGGGGCCACAAATACATTTTCTGGGTAAGGCCAAAATCAAGCTCATATTCAAAACAGGTCAGGTAAGATGTGGCATCTGTTCTATGTTATTGGAAATGGAGCATCTGTACTGAAGGATCTATTAGCGTTAAATTCATCTAGTATCATATCTGCTGCAACTTGTGACTGCATAGGAAAACATAATAGTGGGTAATACACTTTCAGACTTTCCTCAACTAAAAATTCCATTTATGTGGGAGCTTGATGGACTTCTACATGGTTAGGATATATGATAGATAATTCCCCTAATTTTGCAAACCCTAGGAAAGCCTTTATTTGCTGTATTCTTTGCACAGCTTTTTGAGAACTGCTAGTTTTTAGCTCAGTGAGTACAGAAGGCCTGAAGACAGGTCTTGAGAAGAGGAGAGGGGTGCCGCTGCCGTCTGCGGACGTTTATTCCAGTCTAGGTATAGTGCACTCCTTGGGGGAGCATTCAAGCTGATCTGTTCCAAACTCCTTACCAAGCCGTGGACGGTAACTTCATGCCTTTGAGTCTATGACTCTCAGAGCTGCAAGAGCGCTTCTCGCTCCTTAGTTTGACAGCCATGGATGCTACAACCCAGAGAAGTGACTTGCTGGAGATCAGAGACTCAGGGCAATCTTCTTGACCACTCCTGTCGTGGTAAGACACAGTCTCGTGGTGGTGCCCTCTCTGGAGCCACGTGGGATCATGTGAGGGACAATGAGTTGAGGCAGGGCTCCCACCTCTGCTGGCGAGTTGAGAGGAGCACGCTTGCGGAACACTGTGCTCTCTCTCTCTCTCTCTCTCTCTCTCTCTCTCTCTCTCTCTCTCTCTCGGAGCCCATGAAATAATTACCCAGTAGCTGGGATTAAATTTGTATGCACTCATTGTCTGCAGCTATCTCTGTTAACGTGCATGCTTTGTGAAGAACTGCCCAGACACAGCCTTAATTTTTATTTTATTTTTTTTTTATTTTTTATTTTTTATTTTTGACAGGCAGAGTGGACAGTGAGAGAGAGAGACAGAGAGAAAGGTCTTCCTTTGCCGTTGGTTCACCCTCCAATGGCCTGCGCACCGCGCTGATCCGATGGCAGGAGCCAGGAGCCAGGTGCTTTTCCTGGTCTCCCATGGGGTGCAGGGCCCAAGCACCTGGGCCATCCTCCACTGCACTCCCTGGCCACAGCAGAGGGCTGGCCTGGAAGAGGGGCAACCGGGACAGAATCCGGCGCCCCGACCGGGACTAGAACCCGGTGTGCCGGCGCCGCTAGGCGGAGGATTAGCCTAGTGAGCCGCGGCGCCGGCACAGCCTTAATTTTCTATCTTAAATGTCATGATTGAGTCCATAAAATAAACAAACAAACAAAAAAAGATTTTAGGAATGTTTGCAGCTCCAGGAACCCACAGGGGATTCCTTGATTCTGTTTTAAACGAACAGCCCATTCCAAAAGGACACACTTTCTTCCACATTGCTTTTACACGTCTGACTCAGAGTACTTCTAACTTCGTTTTTCTTACCGCTTAGACAACTAGAGGACCTTCTCCCTGGAAACATCGGGGTGGGGGAGGGATACAGTATTTCAGAGTAACCCCACAAACCTCAGGTTTGAGCTGTACAGACAAGACCTTTCTTCTCTAAGGGAGCCCCAAACCTCAGCGCAGTTCATCCCGCCGCTTCGGAGGGGACAGCGGCGA